CCCAGCACCCCTCTTTATAGATTGAAAAATTCAACAAAATATAGAATTATTAAAAAAATAATAAAAAAGGACATTTTACAACCCCGTTTTGGGTCCAGGCCGCCCCACCCCGACAGGGAAACCTCTGTGAAGGAACTGGAAATAATTTGGGTTAATGAGTCCTGATGAGAATGGGGCAGAGGGAGCAACTGGACCCAAAACCGAGCACGGGAACCGCAGGGGGTGGGTGCCCAGGAAACCTGCTGGACCCTGAAACGTGTCCCTGAGGGGAATGTGACTAATTACAACATGAGATATAGAATATATAATATAATATAATAATAATTATAATAAATAATCCCCTCCTCCCAAAGTGAGGGTGCCCCCCTCTGCCTGGAGACCCCCACCCCTTGCGCTGGGCCGTACAATTAAGCGACATCGTACCTTTCGTTGACGAAGACGAGGACGTTCCACACCAAGAGGACGAGTTATGAGCACCACTAAAACATTGATAAACAGTGACTGTGTTAATTACACTAATTTATGATGTATAAACGGGTGCCTGTTCCAATGCTGGGTGCCCTGGCTTTGTGGAGACCCTCCCAGCCCCCTTTTCTGTGCAGAACTGCTAATATATAGTTATTTTAATGACTCCAACCCCAGCAGCCACCAAACCCCAAAGCTGGGGCCTGCACATCCTGGGGTAAAACCATGAGGAAATGGTTCATAAGAACAGAGGGGACCAGCCCCTGCTCACTGCCTGGCCCAGCCCCTGGGCTCTGGGACAAATTGGCAGAAATTGGGCATTTTCTGGGTGCGCTGAGGCAAAGGACAGCGAGCGCCCTTCCCTTGGCTCCCTCCTGCAGACACAGCCCAGATCTCACCTTTCCCTCCAGAAAACACACCCCGGCCACAAGTGGAGATGCCCCAAACAGGGGCCGGGGCGGTGGGAGCTGCGGGGGGACTCCGATGTCATTGGAGAGCGGGACCCCGTGGTGGGGATGGGACAGCGTGGCTCAGCCCCACCTGCCCATGGGGGCGGCGAGAAAAATGTCCTTCCATGTCACCAAATGTGTGTCACTCACGATGGCTGAGGTGCCTTTATCCCCCCCAGGGCACCGATGGTGGCCTCGATGGTGGCCTTGGGGTCCCCGAGCGCTGTGGGAGGGAGGGGGGGGAAGGGTTGGATGATGCCACTGCCACCCCCCATCCACAGAATTGTAGTGGTTGGAAGGGACCTCAGAGATCATCGAGTCCAACCACAAAAAAACAAAACAAAACAAAACAAAAAAAA